GCTTTCAAACATTTAAAGGTCTTTGAGACGTTGTCATAGACTCTTGGATGCTTTTGGACTGTAAGAGACTTTAAAAAACACTTCTTAAAGATTTTTGAAGGTTGTAAGACCCTTTAGTAGACATTTATGGACTGTGTTTTTCGACGTTCTCAGAAATTGTTTACGATCTTTAGAAAGTCTGTAAAATGGGTGAAGATATTTCAATTTTCGTAAAAGGTCTTAGCACTCCTCTAGAGTTGGATATTAAAGTGGGCTCTATAAAAGGGAAAAGGAGAGAATCTTGGAGACTCTAAAGGCTTTATAAAGACTTTCTGTTGTTTGCCATCTTAAAAAGGTCTTAAATACTTGTGAAGGTATTTAAATGCAGAGATCTTTAGATTTTCGTCAAAGACTTTTGGGTGAGAACGTGGGGGGGGGGGGGGGGGGGGGGGGTCTAAACAAAAATCATTAAGTAAAATTAAAAAAATGTATCCAAGTGGTAAATTTTAAACAAACTTTTTGGAACTTCTACAAATTCACTTTAAAAAACCGAGTCTCTTTTATTTGTTGATAAAGACACATTTTCAAAAAATTTAAAAATCGCGATGTGTTCAAAAATGTGATAAAGTGGAACATTCTTAGCAGAATTTCTTGGATTTTGGAATCCCTTACGTAAAAAAGTATAATTTCAGCTTCCTTTCGACTGCAGGATTGGAGAACAATTTTTTGCAAAAAAGTAAAAAATTTGGGGCGATTATTTTCGGAAACAATTAATTTGTTCAAACATGTGACAAAGTGTGACCTCTTTGGGAAAGCTTTTTGAAAATTTCGAATCTCATAAATTAATTTTTTTAATTTTCTGCTTGGGTTGATAAAAACTCTCATTTTCAAAAAAGTTAAAAAATGTGACGACGTAGAACCTTTACTTGAAACCCTTTTTAAATTTTAGAATCTACTACGTGAAAAACAATTCTTTGAAATCCCTTACGTAAAACGACTAAAAATTCAGTTTTATACTTCAAAGTGCAGGTAAGATTTGAGGAACTATTTTTTAAAAGATTCGTTTTATCGTTAAGATTTGCGTATTTTCAAAAAATGAAAAAAATCGTAATGTTTCAGCAATGTATCAGAATGAGTAGATTTATTCCTTAAAAAAATTAATAATCATAATGCGCTCAAAAATATGACAAAGTAGGAAATCTTTGGAAAAGATTTTTAAAATTTTGGAATACCTTCCGTAAAAAAAATACAAATTTAGGCTTTCAAATTTCGAGTGCAGGTAAAAGTTGACAATCTATTTTTTTAACTATCCCATTTTAAAGAAATTAGAAAATCGTAATGTATCCAAAAGTGTGGCAGAGTTTTCAAGTTTATTATTTTCCAAAAATGTAATAGTGGCGTGTGACTCTGAAAAAGATTGAAGAACTACTTTTTGAAAATTTTGTTTTATGGTTGATAAGAACTCGTAGGTATATTTTCAAAAAATTTAGAAACCTGAAGGAGCAGAAATTCAGCTTTAAAATTTCGAGTGCCGGTAAAGATTGACGACCTATTTTTTGAAAATTTTGTTTTATATTTTATATATTTTGAAAAAATCTTAAAGCCGTGACGTCAGTGGGGAATTTTAACAAGGTTTTTTTGAAATTCTGAAACCTCTTACGTAGAAGGAGCACACATTCAGCATTAAAATTTCAATTGCAGGCAAAGACGTGTTCAGAAATGTGGCAGAATGGGCAAGTTGTTTATTTTCGAAATAGTTAATAGTCTTGGCATGTTCAAAAAGTAGCACATTTTTGGAAAAAAATCCACGTGCAGGCAAGGATTTTTGTTTTTACTTGATAAGAGGAATCATATTTTCAATGCATTTAAAAATGTGAAAAGGTGGACAAGTTTGAAATTTTCAAAAAAATAAAATCGCGACTTGTACAAAAATGTGACAGGGCGGGAAGTTTTTGGGAAAGATTTTTTTTTGAAATTTTGGAACCTCTTACGTAAAGAATTCAAATTTGGCTCTAAAATTCAAAGTGCAGGTGAGGATTGAAAAACTGTTGTTCTGAAAATTTTGTTTTGTAATACCATATTTTCAAACAACAAAAATCGCGATGTTCAAAAATTTGAGGTATAAAGTTTCTTTAAAACTGTTTTTTGAAATTATTCTTTAAAATTTGATTAAAATAAACTAAAACGTCAACGTTTGATGAGATTTTGACTCGTGTAAAGAAGCTAACAATATACAGGCTGTTTTTTTTTAATTTGGGGTTAGTTCCGCCCATACCGGGTTGGAAAAAGTTCTCATTATGACCAATCAATTCTTTGCATTTTACGGTACAGTACATTTCCGTTCATAGGCCCCCAATCCGGTACCTATGTCGCACTCTTGTCGTAAATATTATTAAAATGATCCAAAAACTAATTAAAGACTTTCAAAGCGCGTAGAAGACTATTGGAGGAGGCTATGAGTTCTTACAGGCTTTAAGGACTATTCATAAATGGCCATTCTCAAGGCGATTTTCAAAATTAAAGGACTCTTGGAGACTCAAAAACCTTTGGAAACTCGAAACAGCTATTTGATTCAAGACTGTTGTAAAAGCCCCTTCAAGTCCCTAAGTGTTCCTTAACTGAACTTTTTGTAGACTCCCAAAGGCTCTTAAAGCCCTTTAACGACTTTTTTGTGAGCAAATTGTCACATCCTCTTCTCTCAGGAAGTACTGCACATAATGTAGCACCTGGTGGTCTGTGAAGTATGGAATACCCCCAGTGCACAGGTTGGCTCACCTGGGGGTCTGGGGGGGAATGGAATACTCCCCAGTACACTGATTAGCCCCATTGGCACATCCAGTAAAGAGTTTTGGGTTTATAGGGTAACGGCCATTTCTCTTCTCTTAAGAAGTGCTGCAGATAATGTAGCACCGGGGGGTCTGGGGGGTATGGAATACCCCCAGTACACTGATTAGCCCCATTGGCACATCCATTAAAGAGTTTTGGGTTTATAGGGTAACGGCCATTTCTCTTCTCTTAAGAAGTGCTGCAGATAATGTAGCACCGGGGGGGGGTGTATGGAATACCCCCCAGTACACTGATTAGCCCCATTGGCACATCCATTAAAGAGTTCTGGGTTTATAGGGTAACGGCCATATTCTCTTCTCTTAAGAAGTGCTGCAGATAATGTAGCACCGGTGGGTCTGGGGGGTATGGAATACCCCCCAGTACACTGGTTAGCCCCATTGGCACATCCCTTAAAGAGTTTTGGGTTTATAGGGTAACGGCCATATTCTCTTCTCTTAAGAAGTGCTGCAGATAATGTAGCACCGGGGGTGGGGGTGGGGGGGGGTATGGAATATCCCCCAGTACACTGGTTAGCCCCACTGGCACATCCATTAAAGAGTTTTGGGTTTATAGGGTAACGGCCATTTCTCTTCTCTTAAGAAGTGCTGCAGATAATGTAGCACCGGGGGGTCTGGGGGGTATGGAATACCCCCCAGTACACTGATTAGCCCCATTGGCACATCCATTAAAGAGTTTTGGGTTTATAGGGTAACGGTGATATTCTCTTCTCTTAAGTAGTACTGCAGATAATGTAGCACCGGGGGGTCGGGAGAGGGGGGGATATACCCCCAATACACTGGTTATCCCCATTGGTACATCCATTATAGTGTAGTGTAAGGGTTATCGAATTTTACTTTCGTTGGGTGTTTTCCATACGGCCCAAACCCCCCGTGACATTTTCTTTCACAGGCCGTTTAGTCTGAAGATGGGAAAGGGCATCGAATTTGACTTTGCTGGGGTGAGGGGGGGTCCATACCCACTAGGCACCCTGGTAGCATTTCCTTTCAAGCCGTGTGAAGTCTCATAAATTTTGCTGTGGAAATATTGGCATATACGCTTCTCTTAAGAAGTACTTCATGTAATGGAGCACGGAGGGGGGGGGGGGGTACACAGGTTATCTCCATTGGCAGATCCATTAAAGTACTATTAGGGTACTAAAATACTGTTTGGTGCCTTTTGAGACCTTTTGAGGCCTATTAAAGACTCTTAAAACCTCTTGTAGGCTCTTGAAAACTTTGAGAGTTTTAAGGACTCTTAAAAATTCTTAAAGGCTCTTAACTTTGGTTTAACAACTTCGATTAATTGCATTGAAAAGGCCGTCAAAGGCTTCACAGTGTCAACAACACCGCTAAAGACCTCTCTGTATGACTCTTGAAAGCCTTTTGAAGCCTTATTCAAATCTTTTATAACCTCTGTCCGTCTGTCATATTGTTTTGAAAATATTGTCTTCGATAGGTTCCAACGAGAAATATTCTTTGCTGCTTCTTCTGGATGATCCAGAAGTGATATGCATTTTTATCACCAGAACAAACGCTAATCTTTGGCACAATCGGCCGTTTCCATGAAAACTCCCCTTTGTACCCCCCATTGGAAGCACTAATGGAAAACTAACGATCATTGTGCTTTTAATGGTCGCCCAGAACTTGTTTTACCTTTTTCGTACCAGAAGGCACAAATGGTAGAGCGATATCCGACGGCAGCATCTCTCCCCGCACCTTGGATTGGTGCTCCAATTCTCTCATTCTAATTTCCTAAAATGAGTGTCGTCTGTGTCGCAATAACAACGAGGTGAACGAACGAATTTGGCTTTGGGCTCGTCGAAATGACGGAAGGTCGTCCAACCTGAAAAATTGATTGCGCCTCGACGGGAATGCGAGCGAAAAATTTAAATTCGGGATAGGCGGGCCGGGGAAAAAATGAAACATTATCGATAATATAACTAAGACAGCTGAACTCCGTCTGGGGGTAGTTTTTAGGGGTGAGGCCACGACCTTGCCGTTGCCATGAAAACGAGACAACGCTTACCCCCACTCGCGTTCCCAACCTGGGAAAAATATGTCGAGAATTTTTACTGATATGGAAATTTCATTATTTACAGAAACTGATACGTCGGCGATGAGGGGAAAAAATTAATATTCGAGGCATCTCTTCAGTTTCTCATTTCGTCTTGTCTGATCCCGCTAATTTTGTTTCAGCAATGCGGACAGCACGGAAAGGACGACTATCCGAACTGGACGAGAGGGACAATGGGAATGAACAAGCAGGGATACGAGTCGAAGATGAACGAGAATCAGCATCAGATGCAAAAAGGTAGATAATTATTGTCGACGTTCCCGCATCAAGTCGACTTCCATCTTGCGTTTTTACAGGATCGAATTTTCCGCTAAGAAAAATAGGCGCTACAAATCAAAATTATTGCCATCCGATGTACAAAGGTAAAAGCCCCTTTTTTCCGAAACGCCCACGTATGATAAGTTCCCCATCTGGGCCGCCCCGTCTAAAGCATTAATGCCTGAATTGATTAGGACTTGAGATGGAAGTTCTCGCATCATGTTTTAGCGGTGTCGAGGTCCTTGAAACTTAACGCCGAAAACGGGGAGGAGAACGAGCGAATGTTAATAATTTAGACAATATCGATTAACACACGTTTACTGAGTGGAGATGAATAACCCAGAGCCGCTCTCTGAGATTTGAGAGCTTTCGCCAGAGTTTATCGCGATTAAAGCCATCATTTGAGTTATAAAGAAAGAATCCCTCATTAATTCGATCGTAATAGGCTCGATTTACGAATGCAACATCAAATTTTAGCTGTTAACTGCATCAGATCAATCTTTGAGCTGGGATCGCCACTGAATTACCCAATCCTGAAATTTGGCCAATAGAGTCAAATTCATTCTATTCTGTGCTTTAAACAAATCAGTTTTAGGGGTGATTCACCTCTTGTCCCATATATTGTGTTCAACACCACCTCAGCACCTAAATCTGCCCAAAAAATTGGAGCAATTTTTTACAATTCACGCACCTCCCGTTTAGTAACCTAAATGTAGTATAGAGGAAAATAACTTCGATTTAGGGCCGACCCAGTTCCATTAAGATAATTTAGATGCAGTAAATTAACACGGCAGGGGGAGCACTCATCCGATTGAGTGCAAATAAAACTCGAATTGCATCTAACGCAGAATCTACACACTTCAACCCCTAAATTGGGCCAAAAGCTTTGGACAGATTGATTAAGCTTTTTCTTTAATCCAATCACTCTTCATTCTGTAACACAAATGTAGTATGGGCGGATAAAACATGGATCCGTTCACTTAGCCCCCCTCCCCCATTAACCAAAAAATTAACCAACTTTTTTTACATCTATTGTGCCTCAATTGTGCGTTTGTGCTTTTTTGTTTTAGAAAATTCATATGAACCAAGTGGGGACCAAGTGCCCCCCCCCCCCAAAGATTAATCTTTTTATACTGAAATCGACGGTATTTCACAGTACTTTCATTGGACGAGCCAAAGGAATGCAAAAGTGGTTATTGTGCGCCCCTTTTTGAAATACTTAGAAAATCCCCCAAGATAAATGAGGTTATTGTTAAAGCAATCTACTGGTAGCAGTCGCCAGTTTGTCGATACAACCAAAAGGGGGTTGGGGGGGGGAAGAGACATATTCGGTCTGTATATCTGTATAAGTGCACAATTAAGCACTATGCAATACCGTCATTTCAGTATGAAAGGGTAATTGGTGGGGGGGGGTTCACTTAGTTCCCCTTTGAATTTTTATCTTCTGAAACCAAACAGGCACAAACCGTCAGAATATATGCAGAATTGAGGCACACTAGATACAATTTTTTTTCATTTTTGGGGAAAGGGGGGGGGCGAGCTAAATTAATGGACCCGTCAAATCAACCTTGAATCTGTGCATTTCATCCCCCCCCCCCCTCCCCCAAGAGATTTCGCAATAGAATTAAGTATTTTACAAAATTGTAATAGGGCAATAGGGGCAGAGCATTCAAGTTTCCGTTCATTTGCCCCCCCCCCCGGTATTGGATCAAAAATGATTTAATACCTCAATTGTGCATTTATGGTCACGGATTGTGCCTTTTTGGCCCAAATAGGGGGTAATTAAGTGCTTATCTTCATCCCTTTCACCCCTTCAATCTTTTTCATACTGTATTGCATTTGAATTGTGCATATATGCGTTTTTGTACGCTCATGGTCTTTGTGGTTTCGAAGATATTTCGAAAATGGGGGTGATCATGGTTTCACAGTTTTCGTTTCGGAAATACTTTAAAATATCCCTCAAACTTAAACTTCTTCATACTTACAAGAGGGCCTTAGATAGTATTTCTATCGTCTATAATTACA